CATCAGATATTCACATATGCACTAGCTGCATTTTTCTGATGGCTAAAAACCAAGAAAAATGCTCTCAATTCTCAAACTTTGCCTGTAATGGGTCTATACTTCTCGCAAAATGTGGTTATACAGCTTATTCACTCAAAAATATCCCTACAAATTTGCACCCTTGTGGATGCCTTAGTTTTTGAGATATCAGTTTGAAGGTACTAATATGGAAATACTTATGGGACAATCTAATACTTTGGCTACTTCTAGCAGTTCCTCATTCTTATTGATCGAAAAGAAAAAAAATTTGTGATGATGCTGTATCTATAACTTTTAAGGAGTAGGCTAGCAATACTCTGCAACCATGGCGATATGCTTATTCGTACATTTATTGACTGAATTGGCCACGACAGATGGCAACGAACACGATGCAGAGAGCAAATAGAGAGATGGAGGTGGCCATGAATTGGGGATTGAACGAGGGAACGAGCAAGAGGGGAGCACAAGGAGAAATTTGGGAAAGCCGTCGAAAAATTGTCGCGATCACTGAATTTCGTTTTGTTAATTGCTCAGGTCACGTTGGACAAAGTCGAAATCCACTTTGAAGCTCCTGGGACATACGATAGCTGTTTAGGGACGGAAATAAGAGTATCAATGGGTATCGTTGTGTCACCACACCTGCTACGAGCACAAAGACCAAGCTGTATGATAGATGTGACTAATGCTTCATATATCTAACTCTTTTTATGCAGGCGACATCTATATGATTCGCACGAGAACTACACATTCAACACTCCATGCTCAAAAACTGTGATCCGTGCTTGCTACGTGCTTAAGGGGCAGATTTCATCCCTGCTATCAACTGATCTTATGGTAAGGAGATTAATTGATGGAAATGTGAATTGGTCTTATCCTTTCCGCGGTCCAGTTCTCATTGGGTTTGTGAGTATACCGACTTTTCTCATTATGAGTATGGCTCGTATCAAACCCTTAACACATTGACGACAATGTGACCCACCTGGTGGGTCACTGCTCAAATTTTGTTGAAAGGACTGCTATTTCGGACTACATTGAAGTTCTCTTACGTTCTGAAGAAGTTGCTCTTGTGTTTCTCTCCTACTTCATAGAATTACTGTAAGTATGCTGTATTTGACGATCTGCATGATTTAGCTGAAAATTTTTGACCTATTTGTGAAAGGCGTTGTCCCAAGAGGCAGACAATAAAAAACGCACGTTGCTCAGCGTGTTAAAGGCTTAAAGGCAGTGGATCGGCAAAACTCAACAACTCAGGATTTTAACGCGATAGGTTCCTTATCGCCCAAGTATGAAAACAGTGCAATCCTGGTTGCACAGCTTGCCTTCCCTGCTGAGAAAATGGCTCTCAAACTTACACTCGCAGACCAATCTTACACGCTCTCGGACGAGTTGGCAATTTCCTCCTCACCATTGGAGGCTGCCCGCCGCAGTGGTATAACCATTGGGTCCTGCACCGATCCAGCATCACCAGCCTTGTTCCACTCGTCCAATTCCGAAGGGAAGGGCATTAAAAAGCTCGTTTTCGCCGTTTTCAAGCTCGCAGAAGTGGATTTTCGGGATCAGCGTATTGAATTACCCCAGGTAAGCGAAAATTTGACTAGGTTGAGATTTGCCAAGCCACTGCCTTTAAAGGCAGTGTCCGGACAAAAAATTGATTTTGAGATTCTGCGCTTAAACGGGCTTTATTCACCATGCTCTGAATCCAAAAATCCATACTGGATTGGGCAAAAACGGCAAAAGAGCGCAGGAGGGAAACAGCAAGTGGGCGGGGTCATACCCACTGTGAACTCACGATCCCAGCTTCCGGGGCGGTCTTCTTGATTCCGCTAGCCGTCCTAACATCACTACCGGCCAAGTGCGAATGATTAACTTGAAACATCGAGAAGATCGGAAGCTGGGGACATAAAGCACACTGGGGAGGACCCCACCCACCTGCTGATTTCACTCTTGTGTAAGAGCTGTTTTTCGTCCTTTTCGCGCTCCCCACTGTGCATTCTCGGATTCAGCGTAGCGAATAGGCCCTGGTAAGCAAAAAATCTCACATCGAGTTTTGTCCGGACACTGCCTTTGGCTCAGTTGAACTAAATGACACGCTCAAAGCCAAGAAAAGGCGAATGCTAGAAAGAGGAGAAAAAAGTTGCTTTTAATGATAATTAAACTGTCTACCATGTCATGTCTCACGTGGTTAGAAAAGGCCAAATACGAAATTTGGTCACTACAAGAATATATTTCAAAAATTCTAAAAGGTAAGCCACGCTGCCACAAAAAAATTGTTTTGGTTGGCAAAAGGTGTGTCCTTCCTGGTGGCTGTCAAAGCAAACCAAAAGTCTTAGATGAAAATCCTGAAAATTAGCGAAATTCAATAGTAAAAACGAAAAGTAATTTACAGCAATGATCTCAGGACTTTCTTAACGAATAACATTGTATGGCAGCAGAAAAGAGGAAAACTTCTGTGTCTGATACGCCTCGAAATGTTTTTTTTTATTTTTACTGTACGGGATTTGCGGGCCATTTCAAAAAAATGAGAAGACTTCTATACCCACCTGATAGATAAGACAACGTTGTCGGGACCAAGGCTGCGTTCATACTGATCCGAAAGTTCGGGAACAGCTTCAGCTCTGTGCTTGAATTATTCCCGAACTTTCGGATCACCTGATCGATATGAACGCAGACTAAAGGCCTATTGAACTGTTCACAAATCAGCAGTACATAGCATGTAGAGCTGTGAATTAGTTCCCAAGACTACCTTTGGTCCGCAAATAACGGTAACATATTAAGAATTGCCATGTTAGATCAAAGCTTTTGTTCAAAAATTTAAAGAGGGGGGGGGGGGGGGTTACGCCACTGATTTTCTGTAAGCAAAGGAAGTACGATTTCTTGCTGTTCTAGCTACTCATCTACAAATGTCATAAGATTTTCATTCAAAATGCTGCATCATTGGGGTAAATGGTTGGAAATGGAACATTTAGAGAACAATCGTAGATTTCCCAAAGAACAAAAGACTCCCCGATTTTGGCAGATGTTAGAATATATTATTCTCCTTCTGACAGTACCTGTACAAGGTCATGCACCTTTCAGTTTTTATACAGGCTGAAATGCAAAGTACATTTGGACAAATTTTGAAATTTGAGCAATATCTGCGCAGTGAATTATGTAGGACCGTCCAAAAAGTACCACTGCTACAATGGGTGATGGAATAGTTACCAAACTGATGGAATAGTTACCAAACTCACGATGGTTCGCTGGGCTTTGCGCTCAAAGTCAGGAGATATGGTCATGAGCAGTTTCGAAAAGGAAGATAGGTGTTATTTACTGATTTGTTAAGGAGCCCAGGTTTCTGGCTACCATCTGATAGAGCTCTTTACGCTCTATTCGCTCATGTGCAGTTTACCTCAGTTTTCTCCTATCCTCGAAAACTATAGATTAAAACATGATTTTCGGTTTTTATTGCGCAAAAGGTCGCAATTTTCCAAGTTTTTTTTACTTCTTCATCTGGACATAATATGAATTCCTAAGTAAGCACTTACCTCTCGAAAGACTATGAAGAGCTTTCTCGAACGATATGTCAGTTGCTTTATGACTTTACGGTATAGCAGCGTAAGATTAAAAAATGTTCAAAAAACTTGTTTGAGTTGTTTACGGCGCCACACGTAGGGTTGTGGGAGAAGAGCGTAAACGCGTTAAAAGAATATTAGCTTGCGATCAAATAGAAACATCTCAAAATTTTTTATCGTTCAATCTAACACAAAAATGCAAACACAGAAAGGCCATGCAGTGTCACAAACAAACTTACCACAAAATAAATTGGTACCGTGACGGTGGTGGTTTGTGATATGAAAGCTTTGACGTGTTAGATTTGGATACTACTCAACAAAAATTTATTCCATGGATAAAAACAAGAACAGGAAATTTGCAACATAAACATGACAGGACAACGTGCCATCCTTACTCGACTGGTTACCTTCAAGAATAGTTCTTCCTAAGGGAAGCTTCGCCTCTCTTCAGCAACTCTTTGAGACTTCTATGATAGCGCTTATTACAGTCTGACAATTTCTCTTACTCTCCTTTGTTTACTCTGTCAAAGGGCGCGGCGGTCAATTAGCCTTTTTACTGCTATTATATATTTTGTTTGTTAGAATAGCCAAGAACAGCTGGCATTCCAAACCACAGGATTTCTTTCAAAATATTAATCGGGCGAAATCCCCAGTCTCTACTGTCAGATCTCAGAGCTCTGCGCTTTTCAAATTTGCAAATATCTTTAGACAACTACACCCATGGTATTTACAGGACGTCCTGAGCTTTTTGCATCTAATCATTTCAACTATTCACTTATTTTGGCATTTCCCTCGCATGATTTTATAACGCAAATAAACGAAGTTCGAAAGTCATCCGAGTTAAGGAAGAAGGCGTTTCTTTATTCTGTCATTGCCTTACATAGGATTCACTTGTGATATTAAAATAAACAAATATTAGATTACTTGCGCCTTTCGGATCGTAAATATACAGCACTTTGGGGTGGGGGGGGGGGGCAAAGTGTCATTCATACGTTTGAATTATGTCTTATTCTTCAATTAACGTTGGGTGGTTCATTACTTTTGGATAGAACAAGTTATCAAAAGGATAAAACCAGCTCTCCTCTTCTTGCTAGAACTCACATGTTGAGGCTACGGGTCAGGCACCGCGCGCGGCGGACGCTCGTCGCGTTCAAATTTTTTGCCTTTCGAAAACTCTTCGGAGCTCAAGTGGCACGGGGCCAGGGTAGCGAGAGGGGGGGGGGGAGGTGGCAGGTGCATGCCTTGAGGCTATAAGTAGCATCTCACTAGGGGTACTGACGAAAGCTGACTTTTGCTCTGCTTGACATCGCATTGCGCTATCGCTTTGGGACAGATCCTGACTCACGACTCATATCAAGATATTGAGCGGAGAACAATACTTATTAGCACTGTGGCACCACGTGTCAGATCCAGCTCTATCTTTCAACTCCTTTATTGTCAGATAATTTTTTGAGCTAGAGGGGCATACTGACAAATTAAAGCGGTAATTGATCAACAAGACTCGTATAGTGCGGCATATGACACTATCGTCTTACTTACATCATCATTGTCAGTGCATACGACAATGCAGCAAATTTATACTTAACAATAGAGCGGTTTTTGCTTCAACACCTTATTTCTTTACCAAAACTTATGCATGTAATGTAGTAAAGATTTAAATCCAAGCCCGGATACAAGCAGAGACGCATGCATTTGTCGTATGATGGATCTCTTTGGCATTTCTCAAAGCATTGAACAGTCTTGAGTTTCTATAATAAATGCTTCTAAATAACAGCTGAAGAGCTTTACACAAACCTCGAATTTGCTAGCCATGCTCCTGCCGAACATGCACATCGGAAGTAAAGCGAACAACAAAGGTGGAATAAGCATTTCGCGACAGAAACCTGGAGAAAATCAAGTTTTTAGCTGCTAAGGCACAACTAATAATCGGCCAAAATTGTAACACCATTTTTCATATTGTATTTTGATTGATAACATAAGGCAACTTTCATGATAGAACAGTTATGCATCGAATGCCATCAAAGAAATTACAATCAAACATAGTGGGTTGCTATTTGCTAGGATGATACTTGCCATTCATTTTATCATATGCGTATATATTCGAGTAAGTTACACTTTTTCGCTCAATTTATTTATAATCCATTCTTCCGTATCTCAGATCTCATCTTTAATTTTGGATTTTGCTAATTTTGAAGCCTCTTTAGAAACTACTGATGAGGGGCATCAAGGAGGTTGCACTACCTGTGCAGTTCTAAGTTCCGAAATCGGATAGCGTAGAAAACATATAAAAGCATCAAACTTTATTCCTATCTAGTTTTTATCAAATGCTTTTTACTACTAAAAACACAAAATCTGTTGTTGTTGTTGTTGTTGTTATTGTTATTGTTATATGCCACTATTTCGTTTCTTCTAGCCGTCGAATTCTATTTTTTGGAGCGAAAAATAATCGATTGATCAAGGTGAAACCAATAGTTGCCGTCCCTCCAGCACTCTAATAGAGCTGATGTGGAACGCGTTGAGCCGTTGACAATTTATTAGAAAAACACAAGAGTTTCCCCTCTGTCTATCGGCGTGCATGCCGAGGGTTCACTAAAAATAATTCCATAACAACACACAAATATATCAAGGTGCAGCGGGTACGTTGCAACCACAAAGACATCCACTTAGCCTACAATGAGCGAGCAAGTTTCACTATAAGGAATGGCTCTACAGCACCTCTCTCCTCCCTCTTAAGATGAACAACGGTATATTCTTAATGAGGATCTATTTGTAGTTTCTGGTGGGCGATGCTGGCGACTTGGTCTGGTTGATGTCGGTGACGTGGTCGAGGAGGCTTGGTGTTCAGCAGCATCCATACCATTGTTACGTCGGTCTTCGTAGGGAATGGACTGTGTTGAGACATGATGTCGATCCATACTTGCTGCGCGGCGCATCTGGTTCGCATGTTGTCTCCATAACTGGCCGTTTTCCGTAAGCGCGCCATATAGTGCTTCTCGTAGCGTTTTTCACTCGAGCTGGTATCCATTTTTCACATCCAGAGCGAAAATCACGTACCCACACGTCTTCTTGTGGCTGATACGCTCTCTTTCGTGCTCCATGATGGCGGTTAAACTGCTTCTCTATGTTTTCATTGCCCATTCCTTCTTCTTTGGAGGTCTTCATTCAGCAGCGACAGTGGTGTCCTTATCTGACGTCCCAGGAGCAGCTCCGCAGGCGAACGTTGTTCTGGAGCAGTTCTGCAAGGCGTCCGTCGATAAGACTGCAGAAACTTCGCGAGCTTCTCTGCCGTTCCCCCTCCTTGATTTTCTGGAAAGTTTTTTGAAGATATCCACAAACCTTTCCGCTTGTCCAGTTGATTGTGGATGGAATGGAGGTGAACGCATATGCTTGATTCCTCGCTCTTGACAGAAATCTTGAAACTCCTTTGCTGTAAACTGCGTCCCATTATCCGACACGATCACTTGCGAATTTCCAAATCGAGCGAATAGAGACTTGACTTCTCTCAGGATAGCTGTAGTAGTTGACGATGATGGCATCTCAAATACTTCTGGCCATTTCGAGTAAGCGTCGACTACGACGAGATACATCTTACAATTCAGCGGCCCTGCGTAGTCAATGTGAAGTCGATTCCATGGTTTGTCTTTTATTTTCCATGAAAGCAGCAACGTCTTCACTGGCATTTTGGAGGCTTCCTGACAATCCCTACAGCGGCGCACTGAATTTTCAATTTCTCCGTTGATGCTTATCCAATATGCGAATTCTCTCGCGAGCATCTTCATCTTTGTCATTCCAGGGTGTCCCTCTGTAACTGATTCAGAACCGCTTGTCTCAGTGAAGCTGGAATGACTATTCTGTGACCAAATTACAAACATTCGTTTCTCAGACACTGGGACCGGCCGAGCCGCGGCCTCAAAAGGCCTTTCCGGCCCGTCCGCGGCCTTAATTTGTGGGCGTGGCCGGAGTCCGGCCGAGCCGCGGACCTTAATTCATGTCAATATCATTGCACCGCCCGAGCCGCGGACTGAATATGGCTTACCGGCTCAGCCGCGGCCTTAATGATGGGGGTGTAGCATTGCAGCGGCTGAGCCGCTGACCAAAATCTCTATAATGAAACTCCGGCCGAGCCGCGGCCGAAGTTTCATCGTAGAGATTTTGGTCAGATAAGGTCCGCGGCCAGTATCTGAGCATAAAGAATACTTGCGTGATGTACGACGCATGGTCAGCTGCCCTCAGTGCTCATAGCCCTTGATGTCTTTCCAGTCTCCAAGGCGGATACAAGACCGATATGTTGTACAACCTTGGATAGCATCTTGTGTTGTCCAATGTTGAAGTCGGACCTGGTTTCCGAAGCCGCTATATCGGTGGCCTCAACTTTTGTTCTTTTTACTGTGTATGTTCTATGTGCCAATGAATAAGAAAACAGTTCTGTATCCAAGCTAGAATGAATTAGACGGTCCGACAACCAGCTCCGGCTGAGCAGCGGCCCATCTCCGGGCCGCGGACGGGCCGCGGACGCTGCGAAATTCCAGCCGGAAAAGGTTCGCGGCTCGGCCGCTTCCAGTGTCTGAGTTTTGCACTGATAAATTCTCCCTCTGTGCTCTCCATTTCTGGACTCTTTCTTTCGGCTTGGATGACCACGCTCCCGATTGCGGCCTTCGTATAATCTGCGCAATGGTTTCGTCCTTGTGGGATTCTTCTTCAGGCTTTTTTCGGGTTACTGGTAACGCTCGTACAACAGCAGCTTCGATGGCTCGCACATCTTCTTCTATTTTCGCTATGAACGTCTTCGTTTTGGAATGGCCGCGGAGGGATTAGTCGAGATAGTGCATCGGCTTGTCTGAATTCTGTCGTCTTGCCGTACTCCAGGTCGAAGTCGTATGCGAGTAGAATGAGCCTCCATCGTTGCAACCTGTTCGCTGTGTACACAGGCACCATCTTCTTGAGTGAGAAATGTGTAGTGGCGGCTTGTTATCGGTAAGCAGTCTGACCTGCCGTCCCTATATACAGTGACCGTCAAAAAGTTGCGGACAAGCCGCCTTCCTTTTTTCATCGCTCATTTTCGGATGGAAAACGAGGACAAAAAAAGATTGGTTTGCGTACGGTGATAGAGCTCATCAAGAGCTACAACCCACACACCGCGCTTTCTGGAAAACATGTATTATAAAAGTTCTAAAAATCTTTTTCTAAAAAAGTCCGAAAATGGTCGCGTCACAATTGTTAGGTTTTTCTTGGAGCAAAAACAGAAGTTATACGGACAGGTAAGCGTACTATATCGTAGAGCTCATCGAAGGCAATAATCGGGTAATGGTTCCTGCCAAAAAACCAGAGCTTAAAATTTGTTTTGCTTTTTTTTTCAAAAAATAATTTTTATTTCTCTTCTTCAAGCCAAATTTCTTCACATGGAAATTTATTCAAGGCATTCCAACAAGGCTGTTCGGATAAAGTGGCTGCTCTTTGCCATTCTATATGCATCAGACGTGTGCTGATGAGTTTCTTTGCTGAAAATGGCTCTTGGCAGTGCGTGCACATGACCCCACCTGCACCTCACCGCTGACTTCCACCGCTTTGCAGGCCTGTATCTCAGCTAGGCTCATTCGAAAGAGCGTGACTTCCTGGACAAGATGGTAGGCAAAACAGTTGGGTATGAGAAACGGCAGAGATTTGGCGGATGGGGTGACAAAGCGCAGCCTTGGAGGTGAATGGGGTGAAGGCTCTTATCAACACTAGAACGGTTTCAGAGCTCCGAATTGGATCTATTACAAGAAAATTGACGGTTTTGAACTTCCAGGATGAAACTGGTGGCGAAAGAAGCTTTGCTTAACTTAACTGAAAAATCCTTAGCTTACCACTTACACCACTTACCACCTGCGCTTTGTCACCCCAAATCTCTGCTGTTTCTCATACCCAATACTTTTGCATACCATCTTGTCCATAAATTCACGCTCTTTAATGACTGTCGGCTGAGATACAAGCCTGCAAAGCGGTGGAAGTCAGCGGTGAGTTGCAGGTGTGGTCATGTGCACACACTGTCAAGAGCCATTATCAGCAAAGAAACTCACCAGCACACGTCCGACGCATATAGGATGACAAAGAGCATCCATTTTATCCAAACAGCCTTGTTGGAATGCTTTGAATAGATTTCCATGTGAAGAAATTTGGCTTGAAGAAGAGAAATAAAAATTATTTTTTGAAAAAAAAAGCAGAACAAATTTTAAGCTCGGGTTTTTTGGAAGAAACCATTACCCGATTATTGCATTCGATGAGCTCTACGATATAGTATGCTTACCTGTCCGCATAACTTCTGTTTTTGCTCCAAGAAAAGACCTAACAGAAAATTTTCGCGTTCGAAGAATTATTGCCTGCGACATTGCGACGCGGCCATTTTCGAACTTTTTTAGAAATTATTATTTTTAAAACTTATATAATACATGTTTTCCAGAAAACGCAATGTGTGGGTTGTAGCTCTTGGTGAGCTCTATCACCGTATGCAATCCAATCTTTTTTCATCTTCGTCTTCCATCAGAAAATGAGCGATGAAGAAAAGAAGGCGGCTTCTCCGCAACTTCTTGGCGGTCACTGTATACCGATGGAACTTACAAGCTGCAAACGCCAGTGCTAGTCCTTCCTTTTCAATTTGTCCGTAGTTTCCTCCTGCTGCTGTGAGGCTTCGGCTTGCATGGCAAGTAGCCTTTTCTGCCCCATCTGGCATCTTGTGCAGAAAAACGGCCCCGATTCCGTAGTCCGATGCGTCGGCAGCTACCACTATTTGCAATTTTGGATCGAAATGTGTAAGAAGTAGATCCGAGGCTAAAACTTCCTTGGCACGCAAAAATGCGTTTTGGCATTCCTCTGTCCATTCGAACTTTGCGTCCTTCTTAAGCAG